TGAGCACTGCGCAGGCTCATGCCCAGTCCCTGGGTCACAGCCCTGCCCATGAGCATCACCACATGAGGGGCTGCTCAAATAGGCAGCGAGATGAGCACGGGGGAGGGTGAGGAAGCAGAGGCTCTGACACCCACCCCAGGCCTGAGTCTCCTGCTACAGGGCTGGGCAGAAATTTATTTGTGCAATCTTTTTTTTTTCTTTTTTAATATTCACAGGTCATAAAACTGCCTCAGGGCATTAAACCCGGGATTAAGACATCAATTAACTGAGGCCCGAGTGTTCCACTGATTAAAATGGTAGCAAGACAGGATGAAGCATCTCCAAATTCAGTCTCCAAGCATCAAAATGCCACTGTGGTGAACAAAACCCACTTAAAGGGACAGGCATTCCATCTCTCCTGGAGATGGATGTGCAGGGGATGTTATGTGGGAGCCAGCTGGGGGGGAATTCAACACCACAGGACTCCCGTGACCTTTCCTTCCACAGCCTGTGACCCACTGATGCAAAGGATAAAACCCCAGAACAACAGGAGGGACCAAAAGAAAAGAGTTGGTTGAAATTCTTTACCCTCAGGAGGCTCAATCAATAAGTCCTCTCAAAGAACCAGAGTCCTGAAGAAAATGGTTTCATTCAGCTGTGAGTTAACCTGTGCCTGGGACCTGCCTGGGGACAGGCGGGTGGGCTGTGGGCACAGGGGCATGGGGGACCCCCTCCCCAGCCCTGGCCTGGCTGTGCCCTCCCCTCTGCACGAGGGACCCCCTCTCCCCAGCCCTGGCCGTGCGCTCCCCTCTGCATCGGGGACCCCTCCCCAGCCCTGGCCGTGCCCTCCACTCTGCACGGGGGACCCCTCCCCAGGCCTGGCCTGGCTGTGCCCTCCCCTCTGCCTGATGCTCCCACACCGCATCTCCTGTCTTCTGGCAGACGGTGACACCTCGGGCTCACTATGCCCTAGGAATCCCACTTTCTACTTGGTTTTCGAGGCTAACGTAGGGTTAAATGGCTATTCATCAGAAGACAAAAGATGAGCAACTCTACTGGAATACTTTCCATGTAGGCATCAGAATCTAGGTCATTATCTACATAACTTTTCTAATTTGGGACCTGTTATCCGGGATGCAGGAACCTGGCGCATTTCTGCCCCTAAACCATCTGCCCTCACCATCCCCCGTGGACACAGACAGGCAGGGGAGTAGAAATAGATGTTACCCTGCTGCCTGATTAATACATGCGGGACACTTCCACTCTGTGTAATTAACAGCTCTAAAAACGGCAGATGACTCAATTTAGCACAGTCTCCCTTAAAACCCAAGAAGACACAAGGCAATTGCTGACACTCTTGCTCTTCTCTGACGCTTCCAGAGGTCGTTCCCCGAACCCCAAGGCACCGAGCTCTTATACAGGATGAAAGTGTCTCCCTTATTTCCCACTCTACCCTCGGATCAATTTAATCATCTGCGGAAAAGGAACGTGGGACCACAGCCTAAGTTATGGAAGGAAGACTCCCGGCTCTTATTAAATTTCAGTTTCTGACCTTCCCATTCAAACTGCAATACCCAACATGAGAAAAGAAATGATCGGTTACAATCTCATGTTTGTGGGGAAGAGTATGATTATAGAATAATTTACAGGAAATCAAAAAGGCATCGCTTGAGAGAATGGGAAACAATAAAACAGTCACAGAAAGGAAATGAATGTCACCCAAACAGAAATGAGAAAGGAAGCTTCCCCGTGCCAGGAGAGGCTGCTTGCTGTCTCCCGACCTGAAGGCTCTGGAAGGAACCGCAATCCCCAGCCCAGGTGTCACCGGGAGCTGGCGTGTGTGTGGGTGGTGGGGCGTGGTGCCAGAGGAAACTCAGCTGCACACCTCAGTCCCCCACGCCACTACACGCTGGCCTCAGCACAAGATGCACGCTGAGGGCTCTGAGACCACTGAATGTCCAGTGGGGCCAAGAGCGAGCTGAGGGAAAGGCTGACCGACATTCAGGCAGACCCCCGCCCTCCAGGGAGCTCCTCAGAGCTGCAAGGGGCAGCACAACCACAGACCCCGGAACTATCAGCCTGGCCTCAACTCCTGGCTGTTCCTCAGGCAAATCACTCATCTCCCTGGGTGCCACCTTCCTCGTCTGTGGCATGGGGATAACCAGAGCACCTACCTCATAACATAAATGAAATACCACTTCAGACAAGGTGACACGTGTGCAGTGCTCAGCACAGTACGTTGCACACAGGAAATCTCAAAAAGAAGACAGCCACTGTAACTAAGCTGTGTCGGCATTTGACTTGTGTTCTCATTCAACCCTTGAGCCACCCACCAGGAGGAACCACCACGGGGCTTGGTGAATCCTCACCCCCATACTGTGAGTTGGGTATTACACTACATCACCATTTTAAGGAGATGAAGCTCAGGCTCAGAAGAGTTAAGTGACTTCCCAAGTGGGTCAGGCTGGGATTAGAATTCAGATGTGCCTGCATCCCAAATCAATGGTTTTCCCATGGCCTCTAAGTGACTTAGGAGCCTTAGTGGTGCAGTGGTTAAGAGCTTGGCTGCTAACCAAAAGGTTGACAGTTTGAATCCACCAGCTGTTCCTTGGATACCCTATAGGGCAGTTCTACTCTCTCTTATAGGGTTGCTGTGTAAGTCAGAATTGACTCAGTGGCAACAGGTTCTAAGCGACTTCCCTCCACAGGGCCTGGCGAAAGAGGGTGGTAAAAGCTGACAGGAAACGGGTCTACAGATATATTGATGAGTCATAATTTAAGATCACGGAAAGCCCACCCTCTCCCGTAGGTGGGAGGTACCCACCACCACACCTGCCTCCCAGAACCTTATCTCAGTCACCCAGGGAGACAAATATCAGGACTGCAGCAGAGCTCACCGATTGACTACAGCTACCAGAGCTGCCAGGACTCATGCTATGAAACACTCCTGAGGCAGTAAGGACAACGTGACATTTCTAAAACAGCTCTACTGCCATCAAATGCCAAGTAAGTCCTTTCAGCTACTCACTTTAATAAAGTTGGGAGGTCTTCTTATGAATGCAAAATTCACCTCAGAGCCTTGGAAATGTCACTAGAATTAAAGCATGCTTGTTCCAGGTGACGAGCTAATAATTTATTCCTTAGGAGATGTGAGCATGCATGACCCAGCCCTGGGCTCCAAAGCGGTCAAACCGTAAGTGACCATGAGGGAGTGTTGTACGTGAAGTGTACGTGGACACAGGCCTGTGCCTGAGTATTCAGAGTTGATTTTTCTGAGGCTCCAGGTGGGCCAGGCATTTGTTACTTTATAAAAACAAAAAGAGGCAGCCATGAACTTGAAGGACACAGGCCCTCACCCTCACAGATGTGTGGCCCTGGCAGACACTGAGCCAGGGCTGCCCGCGGGGTTAGCAAGGCCCACCTGCCCTCAAACTCTCCCAAGGGTCAGTAGTGACCCTGTCGATGGCCCCTCAGGTTGTCCCCTCTGGCCTAGCTCTGTCACCCGCCAGCATGTGTCTCACACTCTGCACACCCCAAAAACCTTCCTGATCTGCCACTGTACCTGCCTTCCCAAGCTTCCCCACCTCAGAGATGGCACTGCCCAGCAGTTCATGACAAAAATCCAGAGTCTCCTTCAACTCTAACCTTCACTTGGCCGTCACAGCCAGTTCCTCACCAGGAACCTTCTTTTTGACCACCTCTTTACCCCTGGGCCCTGCAATAGTCCTCTAACTGGTTACCTGTCCCTACCTCGGGCCCTCTACAACGGACTCTCCAGTCTGAGGACAAAATGATTTTTAAAAATTCAAACCTGATCCTACTAGTCTCCTTATACCCTTCAAAGGCTTCTTCTGTTTCCCATTTCTCTCAAGACAAATCAAAACTGCACTGAGATCGGCCTAGGCCCTGCCTGTCTCTCTGACAGTCCTCAGGCTCCACCTTCCCAGCCCCCGTTATACACACAAGGCCGCCACCCTTCTCTGGTCTCCAGCTTTTGAAAAACTGGCCCCTCACCCTGGTCCACTCTCTCCTTCTCCCTCACTTCCCCCAACTACACCAGCCAACTCCTAGTCATCCTTCAGGTTGCAGTGTCCCCAAGCTCCAATACTGAATGAGTTTGATCCCTCAACTAGACAGAAAAATGTGGCCACATGGAATTAGGATCTGACACAAAGAGTCCACACATCTCTCAGTCAAGTGATGAGTTGGCAGAGGCCCTGCCATCTTCTCAGTGCAGCCACTGACCCAGAAAAGAAGTTGTGGGCTATCGAAAAGTGACCTGATGGCTTAGGAAGAAAATGGCGGCACGTCAGAGCTGGGGCATCCAGGACCCAGAGGTGACTTCCAACCTGAAAAGGCTTTTGCTGCAGCGACCTAACAGAAGCTGAGGTAGGGCTGCCTGCACCACCAAGGGAAGAAAGCTGGCGACAGAAGGGGCGTACAGCAGGATGCCACACTAGTCAAGATACACAGGACCTGAGGAGGCGATGTTCACCTTCCTAGTGAAGGAGTCCCCGAGTAGCGCGAACAAGTGCTCAACAGCTAGCAGAAAGGCTGGCAGTTCAAAGCCACCTGGAGGTACCTCAGAAGACAGGCCTCGTTGTGATTTGCTTCTAAAGGTTATAGAGCCTTGAAAACCCTGTGGAGCAGTTCTGCTCTGCACACTCGGGGTTAAAAGAAGTTGGGATTGACTCGACAGCAACCAACAACAGCAAAGGGATTATGTGTGATGTTTCTTTTTACTCTTTTCATTACCTACTTAGCTAGGCTTACTTATGGCAGAAGTTTTTAAGATTGAAAATAAAGGAAAAGAAAAACAATTTAATTGACATTCAAGTGACTCATACCCTTTCTAAAAACACAAACCAATCAACAAACAAAAAACAAAGTGGTGGGGGGGCAGGGGAGGTCTGTGGACTGGCTCATCTGAGGGGCTCTCTGAGCTGGGGTAGATGGAACAGCAGGGTCTCCCACCTCCCTGAGCACAATGAACAGCCAAGGTTGCCACAGGCCATACTCACCACTCCACGATCTCGGGGTGAAGAATGGTGTTGTTGACATTGAACCTATAGGGAGGAAACAAATTAAGCCCATTAGTTCAATGGTCTACCAACTCCCAACAAGAAATTCCTCGTCCAAGTCATATACACCATGACCAAGAGAGGGCCCCAAACTTAAACTGCATGGTCCCTTGGCCCGTAGAAAGTCTGCTGGGCACCCCCTACAGCAGACCTGGCAGCCTGGGCTGTGTCAGCTGGAGTGCAAGAGCTCAGCTACAAACCACCACCCTTCCCACCACTACTAGGCAGATAGCACAGCCAGCCCCCAACCCCCTGCTGGCTCCAGCAATTTGGGAAAAGCATTAAGAAGGAAGGAAGGAAGATGTCATAGACTTATTTTCAATCTGTTGAAAGTCAAGATGCTCGAAGAGCTGAGCATGCAAGCATCTTAGCCTCTCAGTGAGGCACTTGGGGTAACAAAGATCCAAAGGATAGGGGAGAAGGGCAGGTTTTAGCATCCTAGCAGCCCATACTTCTGTGAGTACCTCAGAAGGAGGTCCTGGACTCAGTCACACACAGAGAGTTCTCTCTGCCTCCAAATGGTGGCATGGGGTGAGGTGTCACTGTGGTACAGGCCCCCAAAAGAGGAAAAGGAGGTTACAGACCCCATCACCTAGCCAGCAACCTTCGCATGTGTGCTAATGGATTCATGAGCCAATAAGATGGTTAAAAAGAAAACATCTGTAGGACTAAACAGAAAAAGAGAAATAACTGACTTCAATGAGGGAATAAGTGGTTCCAAACTTGCCCTCCTGTCATCAACAAGTAAAAAATTGTTTAACAAATGAAACAACAGTTTCAAACACTCGACAATAGGCAGCACCAAACCGTGATCCCTAAGAAAAACAAATGAGGTGAGCCCTGTGCTCGCCCTGGCTTCCCGACTAGAGACACTTTCTGAACCCTGGTGCAGGAAGAAAGAACCCAAGCAGAGCACACGGGTCTCACTGAGGTGAGGAAGCTGACTGTAGCTCAGGGAGGCTGAAGTAGCCTATATTTGTGAGGCAGAATACCAGAGATGAGAAGGTACACAGAGAAAGCATTTCAGAGAGTTACAGAGGTCCTCGTGAGTCTGTACTGAACACTAAAACATGCGCGTGTAGGGGGAACTTCCTTATCACCAGGCAAAGGGTAATTACTGGGGGCAGCAAGCTGAAAAGTTCCCAGTGTTCACACAGCGGTGGGAAGACACTGATGATCTATTCTCTTCCTCCATAATGCTCTCCTGAGGAGTGCCAGAACCACAGCCTGGCTCTGCCATTGATGGGGCTGAGGGAAGTGGGCTGTCTGCCTTGGGCAGGGAGGTGAGGGTGCTGACATGCGGCACTTGCAGCCAAGCTCTTGCTCTCCACCCAACTGCTGGCAACAGATTTTTTCCAGACACACTTGAGACAATCCTTATTATTCTCCATTTTGGAAGAATATTTTCACTAGATATAGATTTCTACATTGACTTTTTTTGTTGTCTTTCAGTACTTTAAAGATATTGTTACATTATACATCAGCTTACATTGTTTCTTACAAGATGTCAATGGTGATAATTCCTTCAGCAATTTACAAATTTTCCAAGTTTGATGAAAACGATAAACCACAAGAAGCTCAACAAACCCCAAGCAAAGAAAATCACCACAGGCGTATTCAAATTGCTGAAAAATGTGGTAAAGAGAAACTCTTGGGCAGCCAGAGGGGGAAAAGAGACATGTTATATACCGGGACACAAAGATATGAATTACTAATAATCAAGATACTTGACTATTTAGAGTTGAAATACTAATACATGTGTATTGTTATAAATAATATTATAGTATTATATATAGTATTATAAATAATACGTTTTACATGTACAGTAAAATATGTGAAAGGATGGAAGAGTGTAACCGACAGAACGCTGTTGTGAGGTTTTCACGTTATAAGTGAAGTGGTCTGTACTGTGAAGGTATATTATGATAAGTTAAAGATGCATACTGTAAATCAAGCTTCCACCAAAAAACAAATAATTAATAAATAAAACCAAAAAGACATATCTAATAAGCAGTAAAGGAGATAAAATGGAATAATGAAAAATATTCAATCCAAAAGAAGGCTGGAAAGGAAAAAGAGAGGACCAAAAAAAGAGAGGGAACAAACACAAAACATAATAAAACAGTATACTTATATCCAATCATGTTAATAATGATCTAAACACTTCAACTGAAAGGAAGGACTGTTAAGAGCAGGTTAAAAAAAAAAAAAAGCAAGACCCAAGTATATCCTGCCTATAACAGATGCACTTTAAATGCAAAGATAAGGATAAGTAAAAACAAAAAGATGAAAAAGATATTCCCAGCAAACACTACGCATAAGCAAGCTAGAGTAAATGTGTTATATCAAAGAGACATCAAGGCAAAAGGTATTATAAAAAAATAAAAAGAGGTATAAGGCATAATGATAAAAGGGTCAATTCAACAAAAAGACATAAAATCCTAAATTTATATGTACCTAACAACAGAGCCTCAAAATAGATGAAGCAAAAACCGACACAACTCTAATTCACAATTAGAGGTGCAGATTTCAAAATTCCTTCCTCAGTAGTTGATAGAAAAGTAGACAAAATATCAGTAAGAATACAGAAGACCTGAACACATCAACCATCTTAATCCAGTTGACATATATACGCAAATACATGTAAAACATACATAACACAACAGTAGAATATATATTCTTTTCAAGTGCAAATGGAACATTCATCAAGACTGACCATATGTTCAGTCATTAACAAGTCTCAATTTTAAAGTACTGAAATGATACAAATTATGCTTTCTGATAACAACGAAATTAAACTAGAAGTCAGAAGAAAGATTGCTGGAAAATTCCCAAATATTTAAAATTAAACAGAATACTTCTGAATGATCCATGCATTAAAGAAGTCATAAGGAAAAGTAAATAGATATATATATACACACACATACACATTCTTAACTGAGTAATAATGAAAACACAATATATCAAAAATTTGTGGACTGCAGCAAAAGTAGTACTTGTCGTCAGGTGCCACAGAATTGACTCCAACTCATACCGGCCCTATAGTTCAGAGTAGAACTGCCCCATGGGGTTTCCAAGGAGCAGCTGGTGGATTTGAACGGTTGACCTTTTGGTTAGCAGCCGAGCTCTTAACCACTATGCCACCAGGGCTCCAAAGCAGTACTTAGAGGCAAATTTATAGCTTTAAATGCTTGTATCAGAAAAGTCTAAAATCAATAACCTAAACTTTCACCTTAAAATCTAGAAATAGAGCAAAATAACACCTAAGTAGTTAGAAGGAAGAAAGTATTACAGATAAAAGGAAAAATCAATGAACTACATAAAGTTTAAAAAAAAAAAAATCTGTAGAGGAAATAAATGCAACCAAAAGCTGGTTCTCTGAAAAAATGGGGGAAAAATTAGATAAACCTCTAGCTAGACTGATTGTGGAGGAAAAAAACCCCAAAAGACATAAATTATGAATATTAGGAATAAAAGAGTGGATATCACCACAGATCTTACAGACATTTAAGACATAATAAAGTAATATCATAAACAACTTTATGACAATAAATTGACAATTTAGACAAAATTGACAAGTTCCCTGGAAGACATAAATTACCAAAATTTACACAAGAAGAAAATAGAAAATATAAATAACTTTATATCTATTAAAAAGAAGAGAATATCTACTAAAGAAATAAAAAACCTTCCCATGAAGAAAAATCCCAGCCTAGATGGAGTCACTGGTAAACTTTATGAAACATTTAAGGACTAAACAATACCAATATTATACAAACTCAGAAAACTGAAGGGAAGGGAATATTTCCCAACTCTTTTTATGGTGCCAGCTTTACCCTGATACTAAAACAATACAAAGACATTACAAGAAGCAAACAAAAACCACAGATCAATATCCCTCATACAGCTACACTAAAAAAAAAATCCTTACAATAGCTGCAAAATCAAATCCAGTAATATATTGTTGTTGTTACCTGCCGTCATGTCAGCTCTAACTCATGGCGACCTATGTATAACAAAATGAAACGCTGCCCAGTCCTGTGCCATCCTCATGATTGTTGGTATGTTTGAGCCCATTGTTGTGACTATTGTGTAAATCCATCTCACTGAAGGTTACCTTTGTTTTTGCTGACAGTCTACCTTACCAAACATGATGTTCTTTTTTAGTGACTGGTCTTTTCCTGATGATATGTTCAAGTAAGCAAGATGAAGTCTCACCATTTTCATTCCTATGGAGCATTCTGCTTGTATTTCTTCTAAGACTGATTTGTTGTTCTTCTGGCAGTCCAGAGTATGCTCAATATTCTTTGCAACACCACAATTCAAATAGATCGATTTTTCTTCTGTGCGATGGTTAAGGTTGTGTGTCAGCTTGGTTGGGCTCTTCTTCATAGTTTGGCAGTCGTTATGACATTGTGATCACTTCCATGATGGGATCTGCTGTGAGTAACCAATCAGTTGAAAGGGAACTTCCTTGGGCATGTGGCCTCCAGAGAATATAAGTGGACATTCTGGCAAGGCTTGTGGGCTTTTGCTTATGCTGGATCCTACAGCTGGCTCCTATTTGTCTGGCCTCCAGTCCTGAGAATTTCGGCTAGCAGCTTACCTGCAGTCTTTCCTGCCGATCTTGGGATTCATCGATCTTCGCAGCCTGTGAGCAACAGCCCTGCTGTCTGACCTGCCGAACTGGGTTCGCCAGCCCCTGTGGCTACTTGAATCAGGAGAAGCCTCTATCCTGACCCACGGACTTGGGACATTCCAGCTTCTACAACCGTGTGAGCCATTTCCTTATTTCCTTGATATAAATCTCTCTGTATGCATATATTTATACACTTTACTGGTTTTGCTTCTCTAGAGAACCCACCCTAAGACATTCTTCTTTTTTCATTGTCCAGGTTCCATATGCATAGGAAGGGATTAAATAGACCATGGCTTGGTTTGGGGGCACAGCAGTCATCAAAGTGACATGATGGCTTTTTAAAACT